CCAGTTTCTTCCCAATCCTCTACATCGTAAAAAGTAATTTTCAGCAGAACTCTTTTATCATGTTATTCCCTGCTGAAAAATTAATCGCAAGTCTCTATTTCTCGTTACTTCAAGGCCGGACTTTCCATAATATTCCTGCCCACTCTCCCCTTCCCCTCCACTGTGCTGCTCCGTTTGACCTCACCATTCTGATCTAATTTCCCACAATTTCCTCAACATACCCGATCTGTACTGCAGTCAGGACCCAGTTAATTCATCTTCACTCCCACTCCAGTGCCTTTACCAATCTTCAAGAGCCAAATGATGGGGAAAAAGAATATAACCAATATTTCTTCATGACTTACGTATCTGGCAGCATACGTTAAATATTGCTAACCTCGCAGCAACCATATGTTACAGATGAGGAAACTGAGGCTCAAGATCCCAAGATCACATAACTATCAATAAACTGTCTGCACTTCATCCAACCTCCTCTCTAAAGCCCTTTTGATCTCAGCTCCCAGCCTAAGCCACTGTAACGTAGCACATTGTTGTGTTCCATTTTGTTTCTTCACTGTATCCTTGTCATCATCTCAATTGTGAACATACACGGACCATGTAGTATCTTTATATCACCAATCATACAGTAGGTGCTGAATGAATACTTGTGGACTGATTTTATATACGTTTATATATAGTGATGCCAGTACTGTTAGACTATTCCAGAAGGGTTAGGCCACACTGTGCTACAGCCAGAAAACCATGTTGATTTGAGTCATGAAAAACGAGCTGTGACTGGCTGTGTTGAGTCTGCCATTACTCCTGTCTGTTAATTCATCCTCTCTAGAAAATGGGCTTAGGGAATTGGTTGCATTACATCAGGCCTCCAGGCTCTATTGAGCGTGGGTAATTCATCTTTTACCCTAGAATTGTGGCAGATATTATTCTAAGAACAGGTTCACAATTCTTTATCTGAGATCCTTGAAGGCATATGTGTTTTGGAAATCAAAATCTTTCAGATTTTAGAGAGTAAATGTATTGCTTATGCTGTACCTTCTGCAGGGTCTGAGCCAGCACCTCCAATCAGACACATTAATATCTCTGTGTCCCATCAAGTGGAATAAAGATGACAGCCTTGAGTCAGGTTTGCCACCAAATAATCTGCCACAGACTCACGAGAAAACTTGGTTTTCAGAGCTTTTTGGATTTCAGGATTATGAACCTATTATTGAAATGTATTGACTTATCTAATCTCTCAATAATTTACAATACTGTACTTGTCTATATCTTGGAGACGAAGAAACTGAAACACAGAAAGGCTGTATAATGTGTCCAAGGTCACATGGTTAGTATGTGGCACAGCCAGCAATTGAATCAAGACTGTCTGACTCCAGAACCTGTGCTTTTCACCACCACGAGTACTCCCTCCCAAGACGACTTTGCAAATCACACTAACCTAAGTCTCACCTACAGGTTGTGACATTGGACAACTTCCACAGTGCACTGGACCCCAGATACCCCGCTGTCGCTCTGAGTGAAATGTAGATGTCAACTGGAGTCTTTCACCCCAGGAAAGCTAAGTCAGATGGACTTGAAGTCCCATTCCTGCTCTGTCTAAAGCCTGCTCCAAGATTTCTGCAAGTTTCTAAAGGCTTATAATTTGATTGTCACAGTCAGCTTCTGCTAAATTAATTCACATTATGAATCAGTGTCTTGTTTTTGTAAAGAATGATATAATTGCATATGTGAAACTCAGCTCCTCCTCTCAAGACAAATATCTTTAGATTGCTTGGTAATTCTCCCACTTCTGAAGAGATCTTTAGTCACCTCCCCACAATTTCATACTGCCCTAGCTTCTCCCTGCCTTCTGTCTTCCCCTCTTTTCTCATTTCTTCCTTTCTCCTCGCTCATTTCCCTGCCCCTTCCCTCCTTCCTCTCCTCTTTCCTCTTCAGAGCAAAAACAAATTCCTCTTTTTATTCCTCCCAGCATTTAGTAATGTTTTTGTGGCTTGGCTTTTGATACTTGTGCCTTCAAAGTCTCATCTTCTCCCAGTGAATTATAGAAGGGTTTTCTTACACAAAGGCCATTCTAAGAGTTGCTTCCCCTTTGCCATCCAGTGATGTCCAACCTAAGTGCCATCTCCTCCTTTTCTGCACCCAGCTGTACATATCCACTCTCTTCCCCCCTTCCCAAGCTGGCCAATGGCATTTGTGTTTCTTGGTTAGCTACTTAAGCTTAATTGTCTGGCTTGCAAATGTCATGGCTACCCTAAAGCTGAAACCTCTCAATTATTTTCAGTGCCTAGTACGAGGTTTTGTTTTTAGTAGGTATTCAGTAACTACTAGAACAAATCTGACAGAGTAACAAAACCTAGGAAGCCACTAATATTCATTCAGTTAATGGAAATGGAAGTCTGTAGCCTCCTACAGTTGATAGAAATTGAAGTCTGTAGACTTGTAACACTTGTCTTCAAATTACTCTGAGTGAAGGAAACTACTGGGATGGAGATTTCAAAGACAACTTTAGTGCTTTACTCAGGAAAGATATCAGATGATAGCCAGGGAAAATGCATTATATAGATCCTCACACCCAGTGAAATGTAATTCAACCTTAACCAAAAGGCATAAATAACTCAGCCTTGATTATAAATTCACGCTCAACCTGTAAACGAGAATCTAAGAGATTTCTTTACAACATAGGGTCAGTCAGTGATGCTGCATAAGCTCTAGATAAAAATCTCCTGGCAGAAGAGCTTTGTCACACCAGGTTTTACCAGCGTTTAGGACAGCTTAGCACATTATAGGAGCTCAAGTACTCGCTGATGGAATGAGTGAATGCAGTACAAAATGTCGAGGACCTACCACACTAGGGGAGAGGTATTGAGTGCTGCCTGGTCCCCTGCCCTTCACTTCCTGACCGTGTGTCCATTATAGGGTAAAGAGACCTGAATTTTAATCTCTCAGCTCTACCCTAAACCCCTAAATGTGTGGACTTAGGAAGTAATTCAACTGCTCTAGGCTTCGTTTTATCGTCTGTAAAATAAAAATCTTGGGCTGAATAACCTCTAAGATGGGTTTGAATTGCTTGTATGAATATAGTTGTCTTTAGAAAAGTAATATGGGTGCATGGAAATCAACACTCAACTGTTGTAGAGGCACATAATAAGCAAGAATCTCCTTCCCCACACCCCACTCCCAGGTCTTTCTCCTCAAAAGAAGCTCCTTTGGACTAATTCTGTCTTGTTCCTCTAAATAATATGCTTAGGCCTCTATTTCTCAAGTTTTCCTTTTTTTGGAAGATTAGCCCTGAGCTAACATTTGCCACCAATTCTCCTTTTGCTGAGGAAGACTGGCCCTGAGCCAACATCCGTGCCCATCCTCCTCCACTTTATATGTGGGACACCTGCCACAGCATGGATTGACAAGTGGTGCATAGGTCCACACCCAGGATCCGAACTGGGGAACCCTGGGCCACCAAAGCGGAAGGTGTGAACTGCTGCGCCACAGGGCCGGCCTCCTCTATTTCTCACTTTATCTACTCTAAGCAATATCGTTTATCCTTGCGCTCTTCAAGAGAGGGAATTTAGTTTACTCCCTTCTCCTATATCTGAAATATAGCTATGAATATTTTAATCATTTGTATCCATTTCCTTTATTACTTTAATGGACTTAAAGCACTGTTTCTTTTTTTTTTTAAAGATTGGCACCTGGGCTAACAACTGTTGCCAATCTTGCTTTTTTTTTTAATTTAAGGATTGGCACCTGGGCTAACAACTGTTGCCAATCTTTTTTATTTTTTTCCTGCTTTATTTCCCAACATCCCCCTGCCCGGTACATAGTTGTATATCTTAGTTGCAGGTCCTTCTAGTTGTGGGATGTGGGACGCCGCCTCAACGTGGCCTGACGAGCAGTGCCATGTCTGCGCCCAGGATCCGAACCCTGAGCTGCCACAGCGCTGGCCACAGAGCCGGCCCCAAAGCACTGTTTCTTAACCCATCCATTTTAAGTAGATGCTGACTCCCGCTAAGTCAATTAGTGCTCCCTTTACTTCCCTCCACTTCTCCCCCTTGAATTTCTCAGCTTCTGTCAGTTAAATCGTTACTTTTTTCTTCACCAAAATCATTACTTTTTTCTTTTTTTGAGTGTAATACACCCATGGGATGGTTCTTGTTTTCTTTTTCTTCTTCTCCCCAAAGCCCCCCAGTACACAGTTGTACACTCTAGTTGTAGGTCCTTCTGGTTGTGCTATGTGGGATGCTGCCTCAGTGTGGCCCAATGAGCTGGGCCATGTCCATGCCCAGGATCCAAACTGGTGAAACTCTGGGCCGCCAAAGCGGAGCATGCGAACTTAACCACTCGGCCACGGGGCCAGCCCTCAAAATCATTACTTTTATGTTGTCCAAAATTATAATGTTTAAATTCTCTATTGGAACTATGGTTGTCTTTAATGTTTTTTCTGTAGGTAATTCTGAAAATTGAAAGTCAATAACGTATAATTATGGGAATATTATTTACTGCAAAAATTAGTGAACTTGGATGTGTGGAGAAAGGTGTAGTCCTGTGTCACCAAACCTCGGACTCTTGAGGAGGAATGCTCCAAGCATCAAAGTCAACTGAATCTTGTATTGCACTCCACATGTTGCTTGAAATCTTTTTATGTTTTAGCTTGCCTCACATTATGATTGGCTTTCAATTTTAAATATCCTCAAAATTGAAATCTAGCTTGGTAGTTTTCAAACTTGGCTGGACATCAGGGTTATCAAGGGAGCTTTAAGAAACCCTGATACTTAGAGGATCCCACATTGAGAGTTTCTGATTTAATTGGGCAGGAGTGTGGCCTGACCATCTAGGGGGCAGGGTGGAGGTGGGGGTGGTGGTTAAAATTTTGCCAGGTGATTCCAATGAGTAGCCAACGTTGAAGACCCTGACCATTAACGTCAGTCATGTCTAGTAGAGTCGAAGGTAATGAAATATACTGAACACTTTGAAAGCAAGAGCAGAAAGTAAAACCTGATACCAACTGAAGGTTCATAGAACATTTTATTTCTTTTGTAGTTGCAGCTGTCTCCTTCATAACCTACCACTAAGATTGTTTAAGACGATGTACTTCTCTGCACTCAGCTTCTGAGGTGTTTCATTCAGTGGTCGTTGCTTGGCTGGAGAGCTGATTTTGTTTTAAAGTCTGTTCTTGCCTTGGGTGGAAACTCAGGGGTATGGGAAGATGAAAGTGTTGCTAGGAAACAGGTGAAATTTCCTGAAATCCTTAATATTCAGACTTACGTTTCAATAACTGATTCTCTTTCTTATGTCCAAGAATTTGACATGTATTTTGTTTCCAACAGTTTCAGTCTAATCTTGTGTAATTTCCAGGGTCAGTCAAGAAGTTGTTGCCTTTCAGCCTTCCTTCCAAGACAGCTAGAATGGTGAGAGCCAGGCTGGCCAGCCTCAGGGTCTAGTAGGTGTAGCAGGCTGTGAAGAGCGACTGGGTGGAAGCGGCACTAGAAGAGCCCGTGTGAAGATACTGGCCTTTGGCTGCCTGGCAGTTAGCCTAAAAGACAAGCGCAAGAGAGGAGAACGAGTTAGAGCCATGCAACCCTGTGCTTGGCCCTCTCTGCTGCTCCTTTGAAACCAGCTACACCTTTACTTGGGTATTTTCCTCCTTACAGTGATTTTGCACAACATTGCTGCTGATTCCATTCCCTTCCTTATATAATATGTTGTCTCCTTCTTCATCCCAGTTTTCTGAGCACTTCTTTGGCAAGCCTGAGGTTTGTGTCAGTTATTGGGAAGGTTTCTTTTTAGTGTGAGCAATATTGCAACAACAGTACTAGAAATTAAAGTTGAGAAACTTCTCATTAGTATAGTGATAAAGGAATGGAGATTTCAGTCTTAGCCGTGGGGAAGCCGGGAATTGCTGTTGAAGTGGGCTGCTAGGAAACTGGCCAGATGTCATGGCCAAGCATCAGGCAAGATGCAGCTGAAGCTACGCTGTAACAAAAACACAACTTATTTTTTAAAATTTTCCGTTTTCTACCTATATTTGTCCATAAGAACATGTAATTTTATGTAGTTGTTATATCACTTGATTCCTTGTGTAAATTCCAATTAAAGATGAGTTCAGAACTATGAACCCTGTAATAATATCCAAATGCCACTCAGAGGTACCACATCTTCAAGTCACTGTGGCTATTGTCTGCTCTCTCTAGGACTTATTTCTGCATCTACAGTGATTTTCAAAGTGTGTTAATGGCGCTAGGCACTTGTTAGAAATGGAAATTCTCTAGCTTGACCCTGGACCTTCTGAATCACACACTTGGTGGCTGGGGCCCAGCAATCTTCATCTTAGCACAGCCGCCAGGTGGTTTGGACACACGCTCAAGCTTGAGAACCACCACCACAACCAGCTCTCCATCATCACACTGTAAAGAACTACCTCTAAAATCTCACACTTCACTTACGTCCCTGAGATGATTTTTTTTAGCCTCCCGGGGGCCTCCCTTTCTTTAGCGCCTCGTCACCAAACTTCTGGCTACACTTGGTTCCTTGCCCAGCCTCCTCTGTGCTCTGCAAGCTGATTAAGGCTATCACTCAGATTTATTCTTCCATCTCCCTGTTAATCTTTTATTCTTCTAGCCTGCTCTTTCCCATGTAGGTTGATCTGAATCTTCCTGCATGCTTAAGAGAGCCATTGGGAAAACTGAGGATCTAAGTTAATATACCACAAAATCCTTCTCATTTCAGCTTCGGCTTGCCTGGTGCTTGGACATGGCATTTGGTCAGTTTCCTAGCAGACCACTTCAACAGCGATTCCAGGCTTCCCCACTGTTCAGACCGAAATCTGCAATCCCTCACCACTCTGACAGAGGCCCTCCAACCGCTACATCTCTTCACTTCTCCAGACCCGATTCCAAACCCATTCTCTTTCTTCTTTGCTGTCTCTTCCCTCCTTTCTAAGACCAACTCTGCCACCTCTATTTGATATTTAGTGTCATGCAATCCTGTTTCCTCCAAGTCCTTGTCCTCTGAATGATGTCCGCTCTCCTCATCTCTAATCTCGCCTCTGGCTCCTTCTGCTTTGCATTGAAACATGCCAAGCTCTCTCCTATTTGGCTAAACACTAAGCCCCCTGAAGGCAGTGGCTGTATCTCCCTTGATCACCCCAGTCCTCAGCTCACAGTAGGTAATTCAAAAAGGAATGGTTACCACTTGAATAAAACCCTTTGTTGTCCTCATTTCTCCTGGTAACTTTTCTGGGTCTTCTTCTGACAAACATCTTGAGTGGGCACCTTTCCTCTTCTCTCTCTATTGAAACTGTTTTGTTGAGGGTCACTGATATGCTCCTACATGCCAATCTCAGCCTTTTCTCAGCCTTTATTCTGAATCTCTGTGTAGTGTGTTGTTGTTGACTCCTTGTTTCTCTTTGTTTCAGAAACCTTGCTTCCTCCTGTCATATTATTGCTGCTTGTCTTGGTGGCTTCTCTTCTTCATCTTCCCAAAAGGGAAGGTGTGCTGGGTTCAGCTCTTGGTCCTCTTATCTTCCCTCTTAAGTGTCTCTCTGGAAACTGTCCTTCAATCTACTGTCGTCAACTACACTCCCAGTGTGGGTAATTCAGAACTCCCTCCAGACCTAACCTTCCTGCTCAGCTTGACTGCCACATTTTCAAACACCCAGTAGACACTATCTGGAGATAGCTTCATGGCCTGAAAAAGCAGTGCTTATCCAGGTGAGAGAGCCAGGCCCCAAGTATCCACTTGATCAAGGAGCTAAGAGGAGTGGCATCTTACCAGGGCCCGCTTCATAAACGCCTCCTGGGTAGCCTTCTTGTTTGCAGCCTTGCCACTCCAGGCAGCCAGGGCACTGGCCTGCAGGGCCCGTCCGTAAGAGAAACTCAGTTTCCAGGGCTTTGGGAGCGGGCAAAGGTTGATTGCATTGAGGTTGAGAGTCGCATCCTCTTCACTCATGCCGCCAGACAAAAAGCAGATGCCTGGAAAGAGAGAAGCCATTCCACTCTACTAATCCTAGCATATGCACCCTGCTTCAGAAAACAAGCAAGGAGCCTAAAGGAAAAGAAATATCTCAATCTTTTCTCTACTTAATTGTGTGAGACTGGGTCGGAGAAATTAATTCACCTCTGCTGAAGCTGGGCTAAGGAGAGAAGGGCTTTAATAAATAAGGAGGATGGTAAAATATTGAGGAAATCAATGGATTGTGTGCATTTGGACAGACTCAGGATGCATGGTATCACGGAGCGCAAGGGGGAAGTGCTGGCTGCCTGTGAGAAAGCAGAGGTCTGTTTCATCGATAGAGGCAGACTCCTGGACAAACACAAATGCTTGTGGCACTCCTTCAAAGGACGAGGGCTAAGACTTCACACTAGAGGAGAGAGAAAGCCTTACCGGGAACAGCAGCAGGAACGGTCCGGTGGAGAGCTGTGACAGTGGCCATGGCCACTTGCTCTGGAGTATACTTCTTGGTGCAGGCATGTCCAGCAGTCACCATGTTGGGCTTCAGCAAGGTGCCCTCCAGGTAAACATGATGGTCATTCAGGGCCTTGTAGACAGCAGCCAGGACCTGAAGGACAAGAGGTCCAAACAGGTGAAACCCAGAGCCAGCCTTAGACTCATCTGACCTTGGTCCTTTTATACCACAGGGACACAGGATGAAGGAACTCCCATGTGTTGCTTGGCCAAAGGTTCCCAATCAGCCTCTAGGCCTCATCAGGGTACCGCATTGCAAACCACAGCCACTGAGCACAGCCAGCTGGCCTATCCCTGCCTCGCCTACTCCAAACGCTCACTGCGTGGACTGTTGGTATGACTCTGCCTCCTAAAGGCCCTTCACTTCTTCCTTCCCATTCCTTCCCTTGGTCAGTTGAGACAGCCTTGATTTAGGCAGCTGGGGGCATCTAAATTGGCCTCCACTCCCCATCCCCATAGAAGCTAAGTGGTCATAAAACATACGTTTTAGAGACAGAAGTGTTTTCAGATCTCACTTCAGTCCACCCAATTTTGCAAGTGGAGAAACTGAGGTCAGGTTACATTATGACTCTCTTACTTTCTTACAGATATACTGTGGCTAATTTAGAAAGTCACATGGGAACAAATGACTTTTTAATTACATTTTCTCATGGGAGAGTCTCACCTCTTATTTTAAAATTTCTTAGTTTACACTTAATGGAACTGAGGCCCAAAAAGATAATATGACTTTACCCAAGGCCACACAGCTGGGAACATGGATTCCCAAACCCTCGTCTTGGTACTGTAAATCCTATGCTTTTTCCATAAGGAGCATATTATGTGCCAAAAAATTGGAAGGTTTCATAACACCTCCTAACCTTCTCAATGCTACATAATGATTACAGCTGAAGAATATTTCATATATAACAGCTGATATGGGTTAAGTAACAGCTAGTACTTAAAAACAAGGTTTTTCAACTGGAATTGGGACCTTTATGTTCAAGACTCACCTTCTCAGTGACATACTGGCAGTGTTCCAAGTCATGGTCTCCATCGGGAATTACCTCTGGTTCAACAATGGGAACCAGCCCATTCTAAAAAGGAAAAGGCGAGGGGAGACAAGGTGAAGCTCTGCTCACCGGGCTCCTTTCCTTAGGAGGATAGTCAGCAGTTGCAATGGGTATGAAGTGAAGCCGTTGTGGAGAAACACTATATCAGTAACTTAAAGGCAGTGAAAGAAATTTAATGGGATGAATAGTGAGCATTTGTGGCTTAGCCAAAAAATAACAGTGAGGTTAAAAGAAGAAATATATATTCCTGGGAAGGAGGTAAAATAAATGCAAACCTTTAATTTCTCTATCTTATTCTGGAGATTGTTTCAGCTACCTCAGAACCTAGCTGTCACTCTTTTAGGCCAGTCAAGCTTAAATCACTAAGAAAGATGCCTCTTGTGTGGGTTAATTAAGGAATTAAGTAGCGTTTACGGTTCTAATTGGGACTTCCCAGGTGCCCACAGCTCAAGTAACCCCACCATAGCACCCACACAGCAAATCAGACTTACTTGGATCCCAGAGACACTTCAATTTACGTTGAAAACCTTAGCATCAAGTCACTATCCTTCAAGAAATTATTTGGATTGGGACTAGATCAGAATTATCACCTTCAAGCTGGAGATCTAAGAGGGTCATGTCTTGGACATGGTGGGGCATAGACATGGTAGAGCATAGACAAGCAAGTGCCCCGGCCTCAAGAACCTAATCACTTTTAAGACTCAGCTTCTAGAGCTTTGGCAGATGGCAGCAGTTGATGACATGGGCCTTTCTGGCTCATGGCTGACTTGTGGAACCAAATCTTTCTCTACAACATTTGACTATAGCAAAAGTGGTGATAAATGCCACCAGGATACACTGATGAGAGAAGGCTCGTGTGTAGTTATGGAAAAATTGGAAAGAGTGGCTCTGAAGAAAGTTCTTGCCTACTTTTTTTTAACCCAAGGGGAAGGCAGAGCACCTGCTGACAGATGCTGGCGTAGCGGGCCAGGGCATTGGCGTTTTCCTGGATGGCAAGGTTGGATGGACACTGGTTGTCAATCCTCAGCACAGCACGCCACTTCCCAAAGTCAGCACCGTCTTTCTTATACTGAGCACAGCGTTCAGAAAGGCCATCGAGCCCTGCAAGTCACAAAAGACAGAAAGGCTTCTTTGCATCCCTGTCCCTCATCCATGGGGCCACTGATAAAGTGAAGAAGTTCTTCCTTGGCTTAGCTTTCAGTCACAGAGCTTGAGGACCAAAAACATCCAAGCAAATAAACATAAATCCCAATACTGAGCCAAAAGACCTGGATTTAATAAAGCTGGTTTTGATGTATAGAGGATACTTCATGAGACGAATAGAGGGAACTAAAATTTGTCTAGTACTTACTATGTTCCAGGCATGATTCTAGGCATTTTGTACACCTGATTTCACTTAATTATCATAGCCCTAATACAGTAATCCCCCCCATCCCAGGGGGATACGTTCCAAGACCCCCAGTGGATACTTGAAACCACAGATAGTACTGAACCCTCTGTATACTGTTTTTTCTTATACATACATACCTATGATAAAGTTCAATTTATAAGTTAGGCACAGTAGGAGATTGACAACAATAACTAATAATAAAAGAGAGCAATTATAACAATATACCGTCATACAAGCTACAGCAGATCTTAGCAACCTCAGTATATAATTTTTTCTTTCCTTATTAAGTCAAGACCTTTCACCTTTTCATTTAAAGTAAGCACTTTACAGCTTCTCTTTGGCACATCCAAATGGCCAGCATCACTACTCTAGCACTTTGGGGACATTATTAAGTAAAATAAGGGTGACTTATACACAAGCACTGCCGTATCACCACAGTTGATCTGATAATCGAGATGGCTGCTAAGTGACCAATGGGTGGGTAGCATATACAGTGTAGATACACTGGACAAAGGGATGATTCATGTCCTGGGCAGGTCGAAGCACAGGATTTCATCATGCTACTCAGAATGGTGCGCAATTTAAAATTTATGAATTATTTCTGGAATTTTCCATTTAATATTTTCAGACTGGGTTCACCATGGGTAACTGAAACTGTGGAAAGCGAAGCCATGGATAAGGGGGGACTACTATAGTTGTTCTCCTATTGCAACCTAATAGTTGTATCATACAACCCTAATAGTTGTATACTCATTTTACAAATTTGGAAACTAGGTTCCCAGAGGTCAAGTGACTTTACCAAGTTTGCGAAGCTAAAGAGTGACAGAGCTGGGCTGCAAATTCTGCTTTGCTAACCTAATGTTGTGGTTTATACTTGTCTACTTTGGCAATGAAGTACCTTGCAAAATTATCTAAGTAGTAAGTGATGGAACCAGGATTCAAACCCAGGTGTGTCTGATCCCAAAGCTTGGGACATTTCCTGGATTTTTCTCTAAAAATAATATTCCCAGGTACAGAGTATCTTTTCTGTGCAAGGCACTGTGGTAAGCACTTTATGTACGTTGCCTGATTTAATCCCCACCACTGTTCTGCAAAGTAGATATTGTTATCGCGTTTTGACTGAGCCTCAGAACCTTTAAGTGAGTAGCCTGAGGTCACGCAGTTATTAACTAGAGGAGCTGGGATTGAAACCCAGGTGTGTGGCTCTAGAACCAGTGTGATAGGCCCATGTTGTTTTCCCTTGCTCGCCTTCTTGGCTTGCTTTCATTTCTAGCATGCATGGGCATGAAACATATCAGTGGGTCATCACCTTACCTTGAATGGTGGTTTCTTTGTTTGTTCCGGCAAGGGGAGCACCTCCTTGGTCTAACTGTGAATACAAATAATTAACACGTAATTAGCAGGTGTCAGATGTCCCAGTAAAACACAAGCAGAGCCCCTGGTGCTAACAGTTCTCATGTTTCACAAACCAAGGAGTTGAATTAGGAAGGTGTATTTGGGGTGAGGGTGGGGGGGATACACAATCCAGTCCATAGCAGAAGGGAAGTTACCCGGAAGGAACATGTACGGTGTCAACCTAAGAGGACTGGAAGCACAGGCCTGGAGCTTGGGAAGGAAGAAGTAATCTGACAGTTCCTGGGATGCAGAGGTGCCGTAGAAGAGCAGCTTCGCTTAAACTATTTATTCAAGAAACATTTATTAAGCACCTGTACATACCAGGCACTGCGTTATTACAGGAGATGAAGAGAATAAAGATGCAGCTCTGCTCTCAGTAAAGCAGAGGCTAAGCTCATGAGCCCAAGAGGTAAGCAGCCTGGGTTTGAACTGGCTCCAATTTTGCCTTGCTGTTGGCATGTTACCCCTTGTAATTCCACCTTCCCACCTCATCTCTAAAATAAGGATAATAATTGAATCTACCTCCAGAGAAGAGGATCAAATGAGTGCTTGGAGTTGTGAGCACTCAGCGAATACTAATGCTCACTCTGGAGAAGTTCATGCAATTTTGGAAGATCTAGTTACAATAGAACAGTGAGTGCTTTAATGATAATAGCTATCATTAACTAAATAACAATCATGCAACAGGAACTGTTTTAAAAACTCATTTCATCTTTATAAGAACCTTATGAGGTAGGTACTACCATTCCCAGTTTAGAAATGAGGGAATTGAGACTCTAAGAGATTAAGTACCTTGTAGAAAACTTGGGTTGAAAGAAGAGGGCACTGGATGAAAAGTCTAGAAGATGATCTGGTTCTCAGTGGAGAGATGATGACGGAAAAGAGTGAGGACAGAAATAAGATGATGAGAATGTTCAGAATGTTGGCCTTGCCCCAGATACCGTGCTGGGAGTTTGGCTGGGGTGAGGCAGAGGTGAGATGGGAACCGAAGTATTCACCTTGATTCCCACCACGATCCCCTTTTCCTTGAGGATGTTTCTGAACAGCTTTCCCTCGCTGTCCTTCTGGTAGAGGGTCTCGTGGAAAAGGATCACACCTCCGATGCTCTGGTTGATGGAGTTGTCCACAGTGAAGAGCATTTCTCGGAACTGCCGGCGGTTCTCTTCTGTGTTCTCCACCTTGATCCTTTGCAGGCGGTTTCCCATGGTGCCTATGGTGGGCAGCCGAGGCAGTGTAAGGAGCAAGCTGGGGCTTTGCTGCCACGGTCCTCCACAGCAGCTCAGTGACCCTCACCAGGATGGACAGCAAGACTCTCATCTTCATTCAGATCTTCAAAGCTCCTGCCTCTTTTTTTTTGTCTCCCCAGCAAAAGGCCTTGGTTGCTATCAGGATGCTGGTTAGTAAGTGCAGGGACTGGGCATGTGTGGGTCAGGGTGGAAGCCACCAACTGGGTCCAAGTGGCTAGGTAAGACCCTCAGGCCTCTGGTCCAGCTCTCAATCTGACTTGAGATACATACCATGAAAGGAGGGAGGTGGGACAGACTCTTGACTTCCTTGGCTTCTATATTTTATGATGCGGCCACACAGGCCTGCCACTGCTCTCCCTAATGCCATCCTGGGCTTCTCTCTGCCACAAGCCCTTCCCTGTTCCACGTGTGGACACTTCCCTGCCCTCCCTCCGCTTCCTTGGCTGACTCTACACTGACTTCACATAACAGCAGAAGGTTATGTATCTGACCACATTCTGGTTACTGGGTCCCTCCTGGCCTTGCTACAGCTGGATTCAAATGACTCCTGGAAAGAGGCCCTAAAATGGAAGGTTTGTGCCTCTTCCCTTGGTTCTTGGAAATCTGCCTACTGGAACGACAGGACTCCAAAGGTCCACGCTTACTGACTCTTCTGCTCCCACTCCTGTATACAGAAACCTTTACTTCCTCTGAGAGGAAAGAGAGTACAACTATCAAGTTGACTTTGCTAAGTGTAGAAACAAGAGTATGCCTATTGTCTGGTGCTTCTTGCACTCACCTACAGACTCATCTGCAGCCAGGATCCCCTTGCCATTGGCAACAATGCGCTGGGCAATTTCTGAGAGCTCCTTCTTCTGTTCTGAGGTGAGGGCTGGAAATCGGTGGGCCATGGTGGCAGGACTGGAAAAGAGTACAGGAGAGGCGTGAACAGAACTGTGGGTGGCCTGATGGAATCCTGACCAAGATAGCCAGGGTATTGAGACAAAACCTTTAAGCCCTCTGACATTTATGGCCTATTTCCACAACTGGATAAACAAATGAAGTCTGGGGTTTTTCCTCATTTGCCTGAGTAGTTGCAAGTAGCCATCATAGATGAAGGGTAGGATGCCAAATGGTGATCCTAAATAGAGTGCCTTCTAGGAAAACTTTGGGATCACTGATCCTGCTTCTGAACCAACTGATTAGTGACCCACTGAAATCTGACAAACAGACGGCACTGCAGTAATTGACAGTTTCTCTATTCTGTGGATTCCTGGTGCCATCGGGTACCCTAGATGACTTGAGGCCAAGACAGTGAGGATTTTGACCTCTGTGGCCGTTCTCCACTTTGCTCTGTTAGCCTATAGTCCAGACTATTCTCCAGGCAACAAGCTTGAGAGGAGAAACCACCACTTGGCCTTGAGGTTAACTTTCCTTCAGCTTTGGAACCTGGAGTTGGGGGGAGATGAGGAGGGGGCGGGAAGGCTCGTTTTTCTTATAGTCAACCACCTATGAGACCATTTGAGGCAGATGGGGAAGATTTTTCCTAAATGCCTCTGGGCTGGAGGTTCTCACAGGCTCTAAGGATGTCAAAGTCGTATGGCGATCCCTGCTCCAGTAATTCTCGCCTTCACTGCCTTATCAAGGAGAGACTCTGGCTCGTAGAGCCCCCACCCAAACAATCTCCTCAGCAGTGGTCCTCTGAAGAGCGTCATCGCTCCTATTCAGCTCCTGCTTTGGGCTAGTCTTGAAAATGCAAGCCCACAGGCTCACATTTTGGGTTTTAGAAAGAGTGATTTTGCATAGGTTGAGCTATCAAAGAAATCAAATCATAGTAAGGATTATCTTGAGTAGTCTCCTATCCAATCCTGCAGCCTCCTCCTTTCCTCAGTTTCCTCTCCCTCATAAAGTCATATACCGCTGTAGTGTGGTCAGCAATGGAAAAGTAAAGATGTTTCCTTAAATGAAACAAAAAGAAAACATAGCCCAATAATAATAGCAAATTATCATTTATTGCCAGCACTCTGCTAATTGCTTTACAGGCACTATATAATTTATTCCTCACAACAATCCCAGAAAGTAACTGGGCGTTTCCCCCCTCCCATATAGTAAATAAGGAAAGAAGGTAAGAGAGTTTGATCACTTGTCCGTGGACAAATAGCTAATAAGGCACAAAATTGGGATAAGGGGCAATAGTCTCCTCTGTCAAGGAAAGAGTAAACTTGGTGGGAGGAATTGACTTTTGGATGATTCTAACGTCCTTGATGACACCCCCCCCAGAGTACTTGTGATGACATCCCCAGAGTACTCCAAATCCTTGGACTGTCGATCATTATCCCCACACCACTGACATCACCAATTCATAGCCATCTGACACGTCCACACAGACGTTTGCTGCTAATAGATCAGACAGGCCTGGGGCCACGTACCAGTCTGCCTCCTGTAGCTGGAACCATGGGCAAGTCGGTCATTTCTCTGAGTCTTAGGCTACTATGGATTAAATGGTGAAGATGTCTGCTCTGGTTGTCTCATTGCCAAATAGGTCAAATGTGACCTGTGCGCATGCTACTCATCGTAGTTGCTCAAAATTATTGCCAGCACTCTGCTAATTGGTTTACAGGCACTACACAATTTATTCCTCGCAACAATCCCAGAAAGCAACCTGGCATTTCCCCCCTCCCATAGAATAAATAAGGAAAGAATGTAAGAGAGTTTAATTATTTGTTGAATCACATGATAAATAGCAAGATGCTTTATAACGCATTATGAAAATGTAAGGTATTACTATTTTTTTAATGTTTTAAAAAATAATTACCTAAGGGACTTCCATGTTTCTGTTTACTACCAAGCTATTTTCTTCAGACCGAGTGTGCTGACTCAACCAGAAGAACAGAGGAAAGGTCAAATCGAACCAATACTGCTTATGGGAAGTTAAACTTCTACAGAGGGATTAAAGGTCTGTACCACATCAGCACAAACAGCGCCCCTCTGTTAATCATAAAACAGGGTCACAGGCCAATGTTCACCACTGGGAGACAGGAAGCCAGCAGGAGTGGGGAATGGGAGAGAACGATTTCTGTGCCCCGAAACCTCTGCTCATGGAGCTCTCAAGTCAACTTTTTTTTCAAGTGTGACTTTAAGTTCACATTATATTACTGAGTGAAAAAGCAAGTTTCAGAGAAGTATGCAACATATAATATCATTCTTTAAGTTAAAAATATATACTGTTTGTGGGTCTATATAAGCAGAGAATAACCACCATGCATCACCTCTGGGGGATGGGATGGAGTGGAGGGACTCTCACCTTTCACTTTATGGATTTTTTATAATGTTTGATTTCTTAGTGAACAGGTTTACATATTGCCTGGTTCACTATACATACTCCATTAACAGGAAATATGTGTACAAATCTGGGGGAAGGTTGTGAGTATGAACATATATAAATAGAAGATAACCACAGAAAAGCAGAGCTACAAATGACCTCAGACAGATCTGCAGCAACCTGCGAACTTTAGAGATGAGGAAACTGAGGCCCAGGAAGAATATGTCTGATGCCCCTTCTAAGTTGTGATATGCTAGAATTGTAAGTCACGTCCTATTGGTTTATGACTTGGAATCCTATTTTCAATCCTTTTTCAGCATAATGATAGAGAGAACCCTACAGTGTGGTTCTTTCTCTCTTCCTTGAAGAGGTTCTGTGAAAAGATGATAATTTGTAATATAGGAACATTTAACTCCTGGAGAAATGAAAGGCAGTGGCGAGTCCATGTGCTTCTCCATGTGCGAGGCAGATGGATTTTCAGGAAGGCAGACGTGAGGGTCTTAATCATTGAGAGCCTATGATTGCCACCCACTGTATGCAGCATTCTTATATATGGATGCATGAAGATGCCCATAGCTTCATGACCCACCCCAATGCCACAGTGACAAGGGCGGTGAGACGCTTTAGGACAGCCTGATCCCTGGCACCTTTGAACATGTGTGGAGCAGCCCAGAAAGAGACCTGAGTGTTGCTCTTTTGTCTAAACTGGAAAATAAGTCAAAGGATCGCTTAGGTTTACAGCAGCTACACCCCATTCCCTGCCCAGGACCTCTGGTCTAGCCTGGGCCTGAGTGGACCCCAAGGGTGCTCAAGTGATGATGGCAGCGGAATTTGAGCCTCTGCTGGATCCAAACTGGCTAATGGAGCCCTAGGTAACTATTTAAAGAGAAGTTTATTTTATTTATTTATTTATTTATTTTTGAGGAAGATTAGCCCTGAGCTAACATCTGCTGCCAATCCTCCTCTTTTTGCTGAGGAAGACTGGCCCCAAGCTAACATCCGTGCCCATCTTCCTCTACTTTATATGTGGAACGCCTTCCACAGCATGGCTTGACAAGTGGTGCACAGTTCCGTGTCTGGGATCCGAACCAGTTAACCCAGGCTGACGAGACAGAATGTGCGAACTTAAACGCTGCACCACCAGAGTGGCCCCAAGAGAAGTTTATTTTAAAAGACAGCATATCCTCACAGCACGCCTATTTTTCAGATGGTAGAACAAAAGTGCCAAAACACATCAACAGTTTTTAATTGCAAATATCTTAAGCTGTAGGGTCTTCAAAGTGTTTAGTGCCAGTAGAAAATGTCACAGAAAGTACCAAACAAATGGACAGCTTGAGAATTCATAATCAAATGACGACTGTATGCTGTATGATGTTTCCATTGTCTCGTTTGAGCTGTGGGTGAAGGCTAAGGGCAAATCACGCGCCAAGAGTTCATTTCTGTGACAAAGAAACTTCAGTGCTAGTACGAGTCAGTGTGGGAAGAGAAGGAAGAAAATGACATAAGGTGATTGATATTTAAATACACCATGGAACGGAAGCAGTTGTTATGGAGAAAGTAGAAACGAGCAGCCATCTCAAAAATTGAGTGGAACCTAACCAAAAAGGAGTATTCAAGTTGTTTTTCCCAGGCCAAAGTCTCAGAAGAACCCTTACAGGTAACACTGGTAACTGGCAGCAATCCTGAGCATTTCGCTGCCACTCAGAGCCAGGAAAGGCGTGAGCGAGCACTCATGCTTAGGGAGAAAAGCAGTCATTGCAGCAGATGATCACATCTCTCCTGGAAACAAAAGCAAACAAACTTTCCCCTCTACATTAACCACTTACTCCCCGGGGAGTCCAGATAGACAAAAGAGGATCTTTTACTTACAGCTCCAGAGAGGAGAGTGCTCTTAGATGTCAGAAGCTGTGGATGAGGCAGCAGCTGCCAAGTAGGACGAACCTTGGGGAACTCACAGTTTTTATAGACTTCTCATCAAAGTTTTTTTTTTAACTTTTGCCCTCCCCTCCCCACCTAAGCCTGGTAGGGAGGTGTTTATCCAATACCTCTGATTGGCTCATAAACAGCCAATCCTTCTAATCATGCTCACACACTCATCGCACTCACAGAATGTTAAAGCTACAAGGGATACCTGGAAACCACATAGTGCTTAATCCAGACTCTTCGTTTCACAGGTGAGGAATCTGAGGCACAGGGGACTAGGGGATTCCCCTAGGTCATGCAGCTAGTGAGTGACTGAGCTCTGGAGTCCACTAAGAGAAACAGGGAAGAATGTTGGCTTAGCCCCAGCACTTACTCGACACTTGACCTTATCAAAGGTGCTTTTTTTTAATTTCGCTGAGCCTTAAGTTTCTCTTCCATAAAGTGGGATCTCAACTTCATAATAGCATTAAATGAATTTGTAAAGCACCCCCCTACTGTAGGCATTCAAAGACCCTCCCCAGTGTGCCAAAACCAAGCTGGGCTCCCTGATGTCTTTAATGCCAGAACACCCTGTCTTTTACTCTATTCTTATTCTTTCTCAATCTTTACATTTTTGTCTTCAAAGTTGGCAAAAACCAGAATGAAACTCAAAGTGGTTGATCTAAGCCATCAGCTCCCCTAGATATGGTACTGTCTGGGGATGGCTTCACTCTACAGGGCTTTCTCCTGAGCGTTCAACCAAAATCTAATTCAACAGAAGATAAATAGAAATATAGCATGCTTCCCGAGGCAAACAATGAATGAGGCAAATAAAAGTTATGGGGAAATCTCAAAGTAATGAAATGACCATGATCACAGGAAAGTATAAATTCCCAGGAACATATTCTTTTGGAATAACTCATAAAATAGGGGGCAAAAATCAAAGTGCTCAGCGGAATAGAGTGTAACGCTAGAATCTATGGGTGAAAAAGTGAAGTGTCAATAAGATGAAAAAGAAAGAGAGAACTAGGTTGTCTAAATAGAGTTTACGCTCAGATAGCTTCCAAAAGTGGGTAGTGTTAGACATTGGATGTGATTATTAAAGGAAATCGAAATGTTTGAAACATAAAATTGAGGCTCATTTGGCTAGGGAAGTTTTGGCCAAGGCCCGCGCTGAGGATAGCAGAGGCTAGACTAGGTAAAGGTGCCATCAGCACTCTTGACTCCACTTGCCACCCGAAGGCACACTTTCCGGTGTCCCCATCTCAACCTGGGGCTTCATTCATCAGACCAAGATGACCTCATCTGAGGACATGTAAGTTTCATCAGCTTTGATTTTGTTCAAAGGAGAATGGAGGAAGGAGAGATGGATGGCAATGAAAGAATGGAGAGTGGAGCCAGTGACAGTTGTTGGGAGTCAGGACTTGGGGGCTCACTACTGTGACTAAAACATTCCACCTGCTGAGAGAGGCATGGTAGAAATAATTTTACTTATGCCACTAGTACTCATTATTCTTGTTATGACAATGACAACAATAACAATAATAGATTTTTGTGAGGTTCTATGATGCATCTGAGTTTTTTGACACATGGTCTCCAATCTCAGCACCTCTCCGAGGAAAGATTTATTACCCCATTTTCTGGATAAGGAATCTCTGGTTCAGAGAGGGCAAGTAACTTGCCTAGAATCACAGGACAGGTACACGGAGAGTCTGTCTCACTCCCAATCAGTGGTCTAAAGCAGAGCGGTTTACACTTTGGTGAGCACAGACAGCATAGATTAGCTCTTCCTCTCTCTCCCAGCCAGTGGTTTACAACCTTGGACCTTAAACCTGCATCAATCAGGGAAGAATCACATGCGTCGGCAGACCCAGGTGGCCCTGCTCCTGCTGGGCATCATTTCACGTGAACAGCAGACTAGCCAGGCATGTCAGAGGAGCATGAGCACGCCTGCCCCCGAGTGATGTCACCTGCTGCTGCTCCCATGCCATCAGCATTTGGCCACCTGCAGGGTTTGCAACTGAAACTCAAAGTTCAGGAAAGCAAGGCTAAGGCTTACTGGGCTAGAGAAACAGCAACTCCTGAGCAGCACAGACCACCGGCTAGTTTTTTTTCCTATTAGTCTCTTAACACTATCAAATGTTTAAAATTGAGATATTGTGATACATAGAAAGACCGTGGGACTTGGAGGCTGTGAAATATTGGGAAATCCTCCAACCTGTTTTGTCCTCAGTTTCACCATCTGTAAAATGGGCTGGTAAATGGGCTCCATCAGAAACTGATTATGGAGCATGAATGAAATAACATATGACTAGGACTTAGCACACAGTAAGTTTGCATTAAATAGCTGGATCTGAATGCGTAATTCTGATTTAGAGGCCTCCAACTGCAGACTCTTCTAATAGGCAACAAGAACATACCATTCATGATCATGACTCTCAATAGCTCCAACAACTGCCTCATTCATTCTCCACTCCCTGCCTCACTCTAGATACTTCTGATGTGAACATGAGATCTACATAAGCCAGCCGACAGGCCATGAGTTAAATATATTCATGCACAGTATGAAGTCTGAGTCCACAAACAAACTGTATGTGCAAATAAATTGCATGTATAGTAGAGTTACACTCACTGTAGGATTAGTAATATTATAGAGAAAGAAGTTTCATAAAAAGGGGCCACATTTACACAATGCAAGGAAGAACCACGGTTGGGTCACTGTGGCATTTAAAAGTACCTTATCTAACCTGTGGTAGGATATTTCCTTATTGTAGTGCAATCTGCTTTGGGAGTTGGGATGGTCTTAGGACTGTGCAACCAGCGGTCATTTTTTTGGTCACAGAGATAGGCTTAGTGTTATTTCAGCATAGTTCACAAAATTTTTATTGAGGTTCTGTATGTAAGGCATTGTGTTAGCTACAGAGATGTCTTGTACAGGACACACTTTCGTAGAGAGTACAAGATGAATAGGACTGGCCTGTTCTCAAGAAACTTATAATCTAAGCAGGAGGAGAGAGTTGAGGTCAGGATCGAATCAAATCAAACCAAATAAGAGAATGTATATAAGAATACCAAGAGATTGCTGTGGTGGTGGTTATTATTGCAGTGTTCACGGAAGACTCTATGAAGTAACGTGAAAGAAAAGTCTAGATAGTCTGGATTTTTACATGACCAGGCTATGCACCATACCAACTGATTTAGCCCATCAGACTGTAAGGCCTATGCGCACAGGGGCGGTGAAGCCTCCCACTGTCTTCCAGCACCGGCACCACGCCTAGAGCACGGGAGGCATACAATCAATTTTTGTTGAATAAATGAATCAATAGAAATACAAATATATTTGTATCGACTTCAGAAGAGTCTGGAGTAACTGTCTTATAAGTATTATCCCTGAAAACTTCAAAATAATTAAGAGACATAATATGACCGTTAATTTCTTCTAACACTATACTAGGTTCTGAAAGCTCTTCTATCATTGCTCATTTGGAATTTTGTGAGAATCCAGGCTACAGCTCCCCTGAAATGCTGCACATGAACCATGGCCCACCCTCCTCCTTTAAAAAAATAGCAGTAAAATACACATCACATGAAAAAGCCCCGTAGTATGTAGTTGTATATCCTAGTTGTGGGTTCTTCTAGTGCTCCTGTGTGGGACCCCGCTTCAGCATGGTTTGATGAGTGGTGCTAGGTCCATGCCCAGGATCTGAACCTGCAAACCCTGGGCTGCCAAAGCGAAGTGCACAAACTTAACCACTCGGCCACAGGGCTGGCCCCCTCCATCTTAACAATCTTTAAGTGTCCAATTCAGTATTGTAAATTATGTTCACATTGTTGAGCAACCAATCCCCAGAACTCTTTTCATCTTGCAAAACTGAAACTATATCCATTAAACAACTCCTCATGCCCCCTGGCCCCTAGCCCCTGGCAATAACCATTTTACTTTCTGTCTCTGAATTTCACTATTCTAGGTACCTCATAACTGGAATCGTACAGTATTAGTATTTTTGTGTCTGGCTTATTTCACTTACCATAATGTCCTCAAGGTTCCTCCATGTTGTAGCAAGTGTCAGAATTCCCTCCCTTTTAAAGACTGAATAATATTCCATTGTATGTATATACCACATTTTGTTTACCCATTCATTGGTCTATGGACACTTGGATTTCTTCCACCTTTTGGCTCTTGTGAATAATGCTGCTATGAACATGAGTGTACATATATCTCCTCAAGACCATGTTTTCAATTCTTTCGTGGCCATTTTATTCATGTAATAGTTTTGCTGAGATAGAATACACATACCATACAATTCACCTATTTAAAGTGTACACTCCAATGGTGTTTGGTATATTCAGAGTCAGAGTATTAAATGTCAGTTTGTGAGAGAGAGGTGGTAGGTTTTTTAAAAACCTAGAATCTGAGGGTGTAAACAGTTTTAAAGGGTCAGAATGAAGCCCAGGGTCAAGAGTCATTTGGGCTCAGTAGAGGTGGGAATGGAAGAGTCAGAGATTGCCTTCCATTTCCTAATGGTGAATTTTTTTTAAGATTATATTTTTTTCCTTTTTCTCCCCAAAGCCCCCAAGTACCTAGTTGCATATTCTTCATTGTGGGTCCTTCGTAGTTGTCGCATGTGGGACGCTGCCTCAGCATGGTCTGATGAGCAGTGCCATGTCCACACCCAGGATTCGAACCAAGGAAACACTGGGCTGCCTGCAGCGGAGCACACAAACTTAACCACTCGGCCACTGGGCCAGCCCCACCTCATGGTGATTTTTTAGACACTCTTCATTGCTAGGAAATCTGAACTCTATGTATTCTACGGAGACTAGAGTGCCTGTGTATATTTAAGAGGATCCAAATTCTAGGGCTTAGCAAATCTAACGCCTTGGGACTAGAGAGTAAAACTGAAACTTGAAATGTGATAAAGAACTTGAGGCTTTCCTGTCTGAGGAAATGTACATATGTAATTAGGAAGCTGCAGAGGTAGAGTGGATTAGAAAGAGTGGGCTGCAGGATTTCAGAATTACCAAGCGAGAGAAAAGAGTTACACTGTGGTGCGCAGTGACCACCAATCCTAT